ATAAAAATCAATGATTATGATAGATGTCATGTGTTAGGATCATAGTCTTTAATTTTAGAATCATGCTACAAGTACATTAAGTTTCACATCAAATTTTACATTGTTTCATGTGGCGCTATCACATTGGACAGTTTTTGANCAATCCACCAATAAATTAATGTGCCAACTCATCGGTGTTTAGGATAAGATGAGCACCAGTGCTCATTAAATCATTTCTGTATGATAGATGTCATGTGTTAGAATCATAGTCTTTAATTTTAAACATACTTCATAAATTCATCGATACAAGAGGGTGTGATACTTAACTAGGACAGTACATCTAACATTATTATTCCTTGAAGAATGGGTGGCTCTTGAAAGTCGCACTGCATAGGTATTATAAATACGGCTGCAGCTGCTAAAGCTAAATATGGCAGTCAATAATAGCCACTCCACATGTACTTCTCCTTCGTCCTAATCTACATTTGTGTAAGTTTCTTGCTTGTGAAACATTTATAAATAATTTAAATTATAAATAGATGATGAGCAACATAAGTTGATAATATTTGTGAATTTTAAAATGTATAAATAAAAATATAATTGACAGTTTATAAAATCTTAGCCAAACAGACGCTATGATTGTTGCTAGTTTATAAAATCTTAGCCACATGTATTTTTGGATAAAGTGGGTTAAAAATACGGATAAATTTTGAATTTACGTATAAAATATTTTATTGAGACAAATCTCCTTGCAGGCTTGTACAGTAGAATTGTTGCCAGCACATCACCTGTGTGGTTGAATTTTTTTTTAATTGAAATGGTGCAACATCCCTTTTGTATAGCCCCGGTAATTTTCCCCCTGTAAACCAAGCATAATTCATTTTATTGTATGGATGTATGGTTGAAAATGAGTATGTAGAAAAGTTTGCACTTGTATAATATTTTGCAACTCACGTGTTTTAGAAAAGTTTGCACTTGTATATTCTAACAAATATTGAATATCTTCGAATAACTTCAGAATTTGATTATTAACGATTTCTTCTATTCTAATTTAGAAGTTTATTAGAACATACTCAAAACTACAGTATATCGTGAAAGAAGCACACTAGATTCACAATATGCATCGACCATGGTTTGAAATCTAGATTCAATGTAAACAAATACATTCAAAGTAAAGCAAGGTTTTGTTAAATTTCAAGGAGCAATAATCTCATATTATAAAATAGAGAGAGGCTTTAGTTTCAAGGAAAGATTTTGATGCTTTGAAAAGAGTGGTTTCCACTTTCCGATAAACTCAAGAATCTCCAGGTCAAATTGACTCTTCTAGACCTCTTGGCGAACATAAAATTTAATTACATTTTTATCAAGTTAATTTCAACAATAGTCACTTAAGTTTGTAATAAATTTCAAAATAGTCGTTAAAGTACTTTTCTTACAATAATTGACACAAATTTCTTACGATTACACTAATGGCGTTGAGTTAGAAACTAATGGAAAAACCTACATATTGCTGTTAAATTTGCCCTACTTTTAACCTCCAATTTGGATATGGTTATTGTTAAATGAGTTGAGATCCGTTGTCCAACTTTTGCTGTCCAATTTATTGTCCATCAATTCATTCTTGACACATCATTTCGTGAGAGAAAGCATTTCACGGTGTTAGATAGTTGTTAAAGTGAAAAATTAAAATTGATGACGCGTTAATTTAAAATGATATGTGAATAATTAATTGGGTGAACATTAAATTAAACAAAAAATCGTAACTTGTGTTAAATATAAAGAAGAGAAATTGGGGATTAAAATTGGATAAAAGATAAGAAAATGGAAATTAAAATCATTTTAAAGGGAAAGAAACGTTGTTGGCAAATACGATATTAATCAGTGTTCTAAAAAGCGTAAAACGTGGCTAGGCGTGAATGCCAAGTTTCAAATTTTACGAGCCTAGGCGAAGTTTAGACGTAAAAAAGAGTTTTTTATTTTTAATTTTATTTAAAAATTTTAATCATTGTAAAAAAATTCAACAATTCAAATAATACATACCAAACATCTAAAATTATAAAATACTGCATTTACTTAATAATTCCTTCATAAAGTAGCTTGAAATTTAGATGTTGTTGAGGAATCATCTTCTTCCATTGGTTCCTACAAAATGTTTGTAATAAATTTCAAAATAGTCATCAGAGTACTTTTCTTACAATAATTGACACAAATTTCTTACGATTACACTAATGGCGTTGAGTTAGAAACTAATGGAAAAACCTACATATTGCTGTTAAATTTGCCCTACTTTTAACCTCCAATTAGGATATGGTTATTGTTAAATGAGTTGAGATCTGTTGTCCAACTTTTACTGTTCAATTTATTGTCAATCAATTAATTCTTGACACATCATTTCATGAGAGAGAGAGCAATTCACGGTGTTAGAAAGTTGTTCAAGTGAAAAATTAAAATTGATGACGCGTTAATTTAAAATGATATGTCAATAATTAATTGGGTGAACATTAAATTAAACAAAAAATCGTAACTTGTGTTAAATATAAAGAAGAGAAATTGGGGATTAAAATTGGATAAAACATAAGAAAATGGAAATTAAAATCATTTTAAAGGGAAAGAAACGTTGTTGGCAAATACGATATTAATCAGTGTTCTAAAAAGCGTAAAACATGGCTAGGCGTGAATGCCAAGTTTCAAACTTTACGAGCCTAGGCGAAGTTTAGACGTAAAAAAGAGTTTTTTATTTTTAATTTTATTTAAAAATTTTAATCATTGTAAAAAAATTCAACAATTCAAATAATACATACCAAACATCTAAAATTATAAAATACTGCATTTACTTAATAATTCCTTCATAAAGTAGCTTGAAATTTAGATGTTGTTGAGGAATCATCTTCTTCCATTGGTTCCTACAAAANAATCTTATCTAATCTAACTCTTTATCGGATTTCAATTCAATATCTACTTCTTCATCTAATTCGTCATCTGTTTCGTCCGATACAAAATCATCATTCTCGAGCTCCTAATGTTATACATACATGTTACTCAAATCTGTATGGTGTACAGAGAAATTGAGAGGTTTTGCTCCGTTTTTTAGTCTTTTTTTTTTCCATTCTTCCATATTCTCAGTTCTCTGGAGTCTGGAGATTTTGAAGTTTGAAGGGTTAGTGGGCTACTGAGTCTGGGCGGTTGATTTTATTAAAAAAAAAAAAAGGAAAAAATTGGACTCCTTAAAATCTGGGGTCTGAGGCGCAGCCACGTCTAGACGTTCCTAATAACTAGGCACGCCTAGGCTAGGAACGCCTAGGCAAGCATTAAGCGGTCAACATTGTCGTTGACCGCTTAATTGCCGCTTAGACTCAAAGCGAAGAGTTTTCATAACGCTTCCCGTCTAGATGAGCATTAGGCGGGATCTAAGCGCACTTTTTAGAACAGAGATATTAATTAATGGAACCATGATAACATTTCAGGTGGCAGTAGTAAATAATGTCACATGGTACTCAATGCAATTTAATGTAGTATTTACCATTGGTATTTCTAGTAGGAACTTTTGTGACTACTACGGTAAGTAATCACATCGATGAACCTTTTGAGATTTATTATAAACTTTAGCGAGCATTGATGAAATTTACCCTATTTTTACCAGATGAGAGTGGGAAATAAGTTAAATTAATTTACCTAGACCAAAAAGTATACAATATTATTCCCTAATGGTGGAGATGCACGATTGGCAATCCTTATTTGTGGTAGCTAGGTAAATTGAGTGCACTTGGTTGGGTCAAAATTCGATGATTCTACAATGTAATCATTGTTAATAATAATGACTAAAAGAGAGGTCGGAAAAATTTAGATGCGTACCTTTACGATCCTCTTTACCTCACTCACCTACTTTAATTAGTTTTCTGTTGGGCTAAAAATATAAAATAAAACAAGTGTCTGAGAAGTAAAAAATGACACCAACCAGCAAACTAATTTTGATGCGACAGTCGAACAAAAAATTCTGCAAATCGAAATTACAGTTAAACTCACGGAATTTTTTCCTACCTAGTCGAAATCTTTGTCAATTGTCTTTTACAGATGTGCAAAAGTATATCGATGAACAATTCAGTTCACCTTAATCAAGACTCGGATCTGATCTCCTTGGGGACAGCCCAACATGTTTTAGGCACAACTTGTACTGCAGCTCCCCATCTACAACTAGGCCGTGCCGCTGTGTAAGGCTCGATTGAATGTGCTCATAGCATGCAAGTCGAGTAGGGTCATGATTTTTTTTCTTTGAAAAAGAAAGAATAGTGTTATCTTAACATGATTTCATGGTGAATTGTCTCTATTCTTTGTTTGCATAATTCAATTGGAGTAAGCAGGGTGGCACGACAAGAATGGCAACCCCAAAATTGTACCTTGATAGAAAATGAATAACAAGGAAACTCGTCGTTACCCTGCTACACTACGTAAAATATTGAAGCATCAACAGATTTATATTCAACTTGGATGCCTGAATGTTTCATCCTCGAGCCAGTAGATTGTCATCTTGGTGCTGGAGGGGAGGGAGGAAGGTGACAACAAACAGTTTCTTCGAATTGATACTGAGATCTATTTTTCAATTTTTACCATCCACCCAATTAATTATCTAAACATCATTTAAAATTATTTCCGCATTCTTTTTAGACTAACTGTCATCTCAAAAAAGACAGAAGGACAACTTATATATCCTTAAACTCATATCGATACGTACTAACTTACCTCGAGACAGCCACCTACCACGGGAGTGGGGTGAGTTGGGGAGAGGTGGGGTCGAGGGGGCAAAAACTATGCAAACAACACCAGAATTAAGGTACAAACAGTAGTAATTTAGTACTATATAAGTATTATTCATTGTACATGACAAAATACTATAAGTAAAAAAAACTGAAAAGGTGCCACAAAATTCTAAAGCTTCCCTGTAGAAAACCCAGACGCAGGAACATGTAGAGCACAAAGAGAGGAAGAACAATTACTCATTTTACCCCTCAAAAGTTATTCAACAATTACATAACAAAACATGCATTTGGATTCTCATCACTAAACATCTGTGGGGGATGTGCATACAGGTCGTCTTGCACAAACTTCTGAGGGTAAACTTGGAAATTCGGATGAGGCTGGTAATAGTAGAACTCGTTCTTTTTCATATCCATTTTAGGGTCCTCGTCCGGTTCCGCCCCCTGTTTAGTCGGTAGTGGTTCAGTGGCTGAGCTGCCATCGGCCGCAGCCTCCTTGTTTTCTTTTCCACCCTCTTTGCCCGTTTCTGCTTCCTTTTTGCCTTCCTCTGGTTTCTTCTCTTCTTTCGATTTCTCCTCCTCTTTCTTCTCGACTTCGACCTTCATGATCACTGCGTGTTTTCCTGTTCTCTTGTTCACGTGATTAACGAGGTTTTCTGGTTCAAACACCCCTTTTACTGTCACTTGTGAGCTCTTTAGGTCAGCAAGACGTGAGAGGTGAGGATATATCAAGCATGTTTGCTAAGCTTATAAG